GTTTCGGAAGTGCAAGGATGGAGAAGGAAGCCATGAGCTCCGGGTGCAAGTCTTCGCTGTGCTGCGTCGATGAGCGTGAGCCGGTGAGGGCGAGCTACCAGCTCCTCTACAAGTGGCCCGATTCCGACGTCGAGTTCCTGAAGTCGATGGCCGCCGGAAAAAGAGCAGCGAGAGGTGACCTCCACAGCCTCAACTGCTGCGCCGACCTCAAAGAGGGGAGGAAGCAGAGTTCATGTCCCAGCGTGGTCGATAGCTATTCATGCCGGCAGCTGTACCTGAGAAGCTACACCTTCACCAAGAAGGAGACGGTCCCGGAGAAGACGAGGCGGTGCATCATGATTGTCAAGCAGACGGCTGCGGTCCTGCCCATCTGCTGTCAGAGCAGCGATGGCGGTACCAGCTGCGTCAAAAGTTCTGATTTCAGTGCTCCGAAGAGCGTGACTGCGGAGAGAAAGAGGGAGGCGGCGGAGGGTTCCGCAGGTACCGGGAAGTACTCCTCCATCTTCCGTCGCCTCCTGTTATGCACCGGCAGCGTCGAGGTGGTGGATTGAAGGTGGCTAAGCTTGGATCAAAAACCAGTCTCATGATGCGGTCTCTTCCACCAACCATCTCAGCAATTTGGCTCGCTCAATTATATTTCTTGTATATGGAAAGATATGTTGCTGAATTATCTATCTTACCGTGTATTCTGTCTGTGTGTCTCTTTACATCCACCTTGATATCTCAGCAGCTACAACTGTATGACTTCTAAGATGCATTTATTACTAGATATGTTGTGATGATAACTATGCCGACGACACCAATGCACAAAAGCAAGGGTGTTTAAGATTAGCAATATTAGTTGCTTTCAAAGACCTCCCCAACACCCTCTATTGCGTTTAGTTGTCTCACAATGCTTTCCTCAATGGTATTGCAGCCATCCGAAACATCGGACTGTGCAGGGAAGCTCCTCCCTGTCATGAGCAACAGCCATAGTACCTTCAAAAACGGATGTTTTGTGACGAAATCTACCATAAATCAAACACAGTTGAGGAAATTTAAATACAATGATGATTTCAACCAAGATCAAGAGAAGGATGCATTCTCCTTCTTTTTCTTTTGCAACAACTACCACAAAGAGCCCATGGGTACTCTGTTCAGAGATGAGCATGACAATGGATGCTTCACATTAAGAATGGAGGTCCAGTGTCAGCTAGGGTTGCCAATCAAGGGCGTCAAAGGCCACAAGGATTACTCGACAATTGCAGAGATCAACTACAGAATCCATTTCCAATTTACAAGATAGGGTAGAAACAGAACTAAGCAACTCATCGCAACGACCTGTAATCATCCACTACTACAGAACGAAGCTTGGATCTATGAGTACATATAGCTTCTACAGATGGTTAAATAGCGTCTCCTGAAATCTATTACTGGTACAATAACGCTCCCTTCAAATGGCATAAATTCTGTCAATCTCAGAATCAGATATCTCGGAGTTATGTTGCCATGAGTTTGAACCGCTCCTTGATTTTGTCCTCTTCCTCATAGCACGGCTGTGCTTCGATTTAACCACATAGAAAGTCATGGTCCCAAGAACACCAGTCATTATTAGGCCACCTATCAGTGTAACCAGAATAGCTGCCCATCGGATATGCCGGCCCAACACAATGAATGAAGATGCGATAAAAGCAACGGTAGTGCAGACAGAAGCCAACCACATCAGCTTGTTAATTATCTCAACGACCCGCCTCTCTGCCTTTGTTTCTCCCCTGACAAGTGTTATCTGAACCACCACCACTGCTAATGAAGTGAACAGGGCAATAGCATTGAAAATGAAAAATATTTTGAAACTCGCAGAGTGCACAACTATTGCTGTTCCATCTTCTTGAGTTCCACCAGGCACTGTAAAGATTGCAGCGAATGCGACAGTAGCAAAGAGCACGGCAACCACAGTGACAGAGTTAGTCGCGTTGTTAATGCCTTCTCTATGGAGCTTCCTCAGCTCCTTCGCAATGCCGTGGACATTTTTGTTTGTTTTCCTGGTCTGCTCCAACTGTATATGAACATCCTTTTTAATCTCAGTTACAGTCTTCCTGAGCTCATCACGTGGCTGATTCAGTTCATTTGCCCTAACTGCATCATAACGAGTAAGCCATTCCTTGATTTCTGCAGATTCTTCTGAGAGGGGCAGGCCTTCAGCAATATCAAAAGCAGTTTTATGATCTCTTGTTAATGCATTCACATTTGTATCCGGGAGATGTAGGAGAACCTTTACTATCTACAAAAAATGGAAAAATCTGAAATAAGCATGACATCAGAAAACTGCAAACACCTTATGGATTGAATGCTCTTCATAGTAAGATTATATCAGAACTATTAGTCGAAGACATGTTAACAGTCTCTTAGTGGTTCTAAGTAAATAGAAGGCACAAAACCCAGCAATTTTGAAGAGCCTTCTTTTTCAGGTGCTATATGTACATGTGTGTGTGTGTGTTTGTGTGTGTGTGTGTATATATATATGTGCGTGTGTGTGTGTGTATTTATATGTATGTATATATATACATATATATATATACACACACATATACATATATATACACACACACATATATATACATACATATTTATATATATGTGTATATATATGTATATATTTATATCTGTATATATATATATGTATACGTATACATATATATGTATATGTGTGTACACATACACACACACACACACATATATATATATATATGCTATAAAAGAAATAACTTCTTTAGGCTACCCCTATCTAAGATGATATAAGAAAAAAGTTCAAGAGAAATAATGTATACAAGCCACTAGACAGGCAATTATATACATGAGATTCATGTCAGCAATTCAACGTTAAGGTAGTGGCAAGTTAACCACTCCAGCGATCCAAGTTTTATCCTGGCCAGCTGGCCCAATTATCATAAGGTGTAACTACTCTACCAAGATAGTCTGACCAAGCTTGCTTAATGATCTTCGCTGACTAACTTGTCAGAAAGCAAAATATTTCTGTAGCACCCATCAGAAACCTTAACTTCTACTTCCGTGAAGAAATATCATGCAAAGATATGCATAATTCGATCAGAAAACAAAAGAAAATCTGGAGTAAACATCCATTATTTGATGAAGCTAATGCAGACCAATCCTCATGAGAACATCAGAACAAAACTTGATTATGATAAGCAATCAATGGCATGCACTAAAAGCAATACCTCTGCTCTCTTTTTTCTTGTAGCCACATGTAAAACTGTGTTGCCAGCTCTGTCTGGTAGCATAACTATAGCAGGATCAGCATCCACAAGGGCATTAACAACTTCACAATGTGTTCCTTTGACTGCCATGTGCAGAGCAGTCTGCCCCTTTTTATCAGTCCTTCTAGCAAGCTGTGGATCCTTCTCAAGCAATGCTTTTACAATTTCAACATGCCCTTGCCGGGCAGCAAAATGCAGAGCATTTTTCCCATTGGCTTTTGGTAGCTCGATTAAGCTTGCATCTCGTTCTAGCAACAAGTTTACAATTTCAGTGTGACCTCTTATTGCTGCAGTTATAAGGGGAGTGGCATTTGATTGACCAAATGTCTTGATGAGAGTCGGATCATGATCTAGAAGTACCTGGACAATTTCTGTATGAAACTTATTAGTGATATCCCTGCAGGAAAAATAACTCGGCTATAGAGAGAGAGGGAAGGGGGTACAGACATCAACTAAGCAAACAAACATATTTGACAAATGGATAACATTTGCTTGTAAGAAATTCAGTCGATCACAACAGGCGTATTGCTTCTACAGCTCATGTCATTTATCTATGATTGCTCAATATGTTGCAAAGGGTGCCAACGAGAACATGATAGAACATTTAGAAACATATGCAAGTCAATTTCAATTTGTATAACAAACATGCAACATAAATGTTCATAAAACATTGACTCTTGATAACAACTTGGTGGATTTTTCAACACTTCAGAGCCAACAGTAGTCAAAGCCGACTGAAATTATTCTAGAAAGAAGACAATTAGAATAACATTCACATGCCTTATTTAGATCCAAACATAATAAAGAGAAAGGAAAATCAATTTATAACTCCCAAGTAAACACATGATATAGCATACGAATTCTTTTGCACTTAAATTATTACACTTGAAAAGAAAAACAAACAGAAGGCCTCATAATCCAGTACTGCTGTCAGCAAGTAAAAATCCAGTGCTCCAACCAATAAACAGAGCAGCTAGTGCATCTTAAGCTTAGATTTCAAGGGCCACAAAATTCATACTATGAACAAATGCAAGTCATTTAGCTGTCCAAAGAGCAGACTTCACATAAACTAAAACATCAATTCTCATTTAATATTTGATTCTCGTTAACCACACAAATATGTTGACTAGCTAATTGAGAAGAATGCATGGATACCCTACAACATACATGACCATGTGCCAACTTATAAAATCCTCTGTGTTCTCTACTATGTTATCATCTCTAAAGAATCAGCTTTGCCATGTCCCCATTTCTAAAAGCAAGCAACTGCTACTTGACCATTTCTTCACAGATAGAACAATTCTAAGATGGGAAAGTGAACCCTGAAGTGATGGAGATATGATGTATGAAATACAGGAATTGTAGTCAACTAGATTGTCATGTCCAAATCCATCCTCCTTAATTTACGTATCTAACAATCAATGGAATCAAATTTAGACACCAAAAACTTGTAACTAAGGGTAGCTTTTAGTGTTCAGTATCATTTATTACCACTAGACATAAGCAACAGTAATAGTATGAGTAAAACTTGATCACAGATATCCCTACTCACCTCGGTTCCCCTCTCTTGCAGCCACATGGAGAGCATCAAAACCCGATCTGTTCTTTCTGGAGAGGCTCTCCCGATTGGAGTACTTCAACAGCTCGACCACGATATCAAGAAAACCCTTCTCGGCAGCGATGAACAGCGGCGTCTCCTCCACCTCGTTCACCTCGTTCACCACCGCCGCGCGGATCTCCGCCACCTCGGCGTCGAACTCAGCTTCGCCCGGCGTACCCGTAACCTGAGCATCGATCTCCCCGAGAATCTGCCTCACCGCCGCGAGGTCCCCGCGCTGCGCCGCCAGGTGGAGCTCGGTGTCGTTGTGCCGCCCCGTCACCTGCTTCACGTACTTCTTCTTCACCGACGGGTCTATCCTCTTGCCAGAGTTGGACAGCACAAGCGCCGGTGCCGCCGTCGGGGACGCCGCCGCCGACGCGGCCTGCTCCATCCGCTTCCCCGAGTTGGACAGCACTAGCGCCGGTGCAGGCGGCGCCGAGGCAGTCGGAGAGATGGAGCTGAGGCTGGTGGATCCGAATTCGAGGTCCTTCTCTCCTGCTTAGCCAAAGACGGAGCGAAATACCGATCAAAATCGAGACATGGGACCGAAATCAAGGTGCAAGCAGCGCAAAAGGCGACACCTTTCTCGAGTTGGAGCCCCATCCTGCTCCTCGTCCTCCTCCGGCGCTGCTATTGGAAGCGCACGAGCGGCTTGGGAGCGATCAGCTCAAGGGGGGCAAACAGATAGCCATGGCGCAAAAAGCCAGTCGAAGAGGAGAGGAAGTGGACGCAAGAAAAGGAAACGACCGGGGATCCTCTCCAACCACACCTCCGATGCGAGACGATCGAACCCCCACCGCGGCCGTCAGTTTACGTGGGTCCCACCTAAACCATCGGTGAGATGTTGCTCAATGCGGCATTGGAGAGGATCCCGATCCAACTCGATCACTATGGAGGAATAATTATTAGGCGGACGATGTGACACCTAACTACAATAGAATTATAATTACACAAATATCCTTCAAAAAATTATTAGAATTAATCCTCCCCATATATGCTTCCATCAATAGAATGTGAGGTTGGCACTGCTGAATGAAACATGCCACAAACATTCAAATCACCTATTCAAATAATCGAAATATATTTTACGACTTCGATCCAAATAAATTTACAATTTACATCTAAGAATAAAACACTTTTTCCCTTTCCTCATAAATTAGGCAAATTGAGTTCCAATTTCCTCCATGTGATCGGACTAAGAACCCATCGATCCCAATGCCCAATAGCATTAGATTCAATCGTTGTTTATATTCCATTTACTATGAACTAATTCGGTTCTCACGATTAGGGAATTTTACATCAAGCTATAATTATTTATATTCTCTCTCTATTCTGTATTATCTATTGTTAGGAGAGAAGAGGTGTAAGCTGCTGTAAGCTAGATATGGAAGCGTAAATGAACCGAATCCACCATCTCAATTACGCGGTCCGGGATGACACCTTGGACCGGTTCGGGCCCGAACCGGAACCGGAACCGGAGAAGAGCTTCCCCAGCTGCTCACGGACATCGTCGGGCGAGTACGACGCCACCGCAACGTCCTCAATCACCGGATGCCAGCGCGCGTAGAACCCCCGGAACGCCGGGACCACCATGCCTCGCACCGCCTCCCTCACCTCCTCCCGCATCCCTGGGTCGGTGACCACCCACCCAGCCTGGGTGGCGCAGGCCGCCTCCAGCGCCGCGATGAACGCCCGAATCCACTCCCCCGCCTCCCCCGCCGACACCTCCCCCTTTGGAACCCCCGCCGCCATCCTGCCCCACGCCACTCGCCCGTACCCCGCCGCGTGCTGCCTCGCCTTCGCGGCGTGCCGTGCCGCCCACTCCTCGCCCAGCAGCTCCAGCAGCTGGCAAGACCGTACCTTGCTCACTATGTACTGAAGGTTGTTCGCGAGGAAGAGGCAGGACAAACCCACGTCCTGATACGTCTCCGTTTTCCCGTCGAGCTTGCAGAGCAGCGCGAAGACGAGCCACGCGAGCTTCTCGGCGACCGCCGAGATGTAGGAGGAGGTGGTGGTTCCGGGTGAAGATGGGCATGAGGCAGGAGGATGCACCGCCGGCGCCTGAGACGTGTCCAAGAAGAAATCCGGGATGGGGCTTGGGGTCTGGAGGGGGCAGTCGGCGAAGATCTCGGCGAGGGAGGACTCGTAATCGGCTAGCAGCGAGATGTAGTTCATGGTGTAGCGGGTCATCGGATGGACCCCTCCGCCGGGGACCGCCAACCGAGAGGATTCCCTCAGGATCGCCGACTCGAAGTCAGCGAGGGTGGCGCAGGCTGTCTCCGCGAGCTTGGAGAGAGAAGCGAGGGCCTGCGCCCGGACTACTGCGGTGGACTCGAAGGAGAAAACGAGCTCGATCTCAGGCCACAGCTCCACGATGGTGTCGTACAGGTCCAAGAGCCGGAACAGCTTCTCAGGTGACCGCTTCGACTTGGCGACAGACACCGGGAAGCTGAGGAAGTGGAGAGCGGCATCACCCGCAATGTACGCGAAGAGTGCCTCCCGGACGGTGTCGGAGCCGGCGAAGACGTGGTCGAGGAGGACGTGCTCGCCGTGGAATAGGGTCCTCAGGGCAACCCTGGAGGCGCCAAGCCAAGACCGGACTTTTAGCTCGAGCATCGCCCAGTCCAACTTCAGGACGTGGGCGAGGGAGAGACGCTCGAAGCCAAGGCGGCAGAGGCCCTCGTCGACAATGCACTTGCGGAGGGTTTGGTACGTCGTGATGCACTCCTTGCTGTATCCGGCGGAGACCATGGTGTCGGCGATGGCCCGGAGGTCGGCCATGGCGATGGCGGCGGCGCGCTCGACCTTGCTTATGGACTCCCCAGCGGCGAGCGCCTCCTCCTCGGGCGAGCGGTACTCCCAGGAGTCGTAGTCGGGCTCCTCGGAGACGCTGGAGTGGGCGGAGCGGACGGAGACGGAGACGGACTCGGGGTCGAGGAGGTCACGGTTAGCGGCAAGGATCTGGTAGAACTCCTTCACAAGGCGACGCATGGCGGCCTGCATGAGGGTCTGCGCCCGGACGAGGCAAGGGTGGGAGAGGCGAGCGCGCCCGGCGGCCGCAACGAAGGCGAGCATGGCCCGCTGCAGGTCGGAGACCTCAGCAAGGAAGCGGTGAGCCTCGGAGCGGCTTTCGTAGAAGAGGGAAGTGATGTTGGCGTAGGCAGAGGCGTCAGGGTCCCATTTGACGATGATTGCCTCAGCTCTCGCCACCTTCTCCTCCATCATCGACACGTCCGATGAAGACGAGGAAGCAGGGAGGTCGTGATTGCTGCAACGGCCGAAGGATTTGCGCGACAGGAGGCTTCGCAACGTTTGTCTCGTCATCTTCTCGGGCGCCGAGAAAATTGTTGATGGTGATTCTTGAAGACCTGACGCTTTGGCTTTTCTCACAGGAAATGTATTCTTGAGATGCATTGTACGTCACAAGGTGATGGGTTTGTCAATGACGTGAAGGTCACTGTCACTCTAATAATTTAATGCCGGTCGAAGTACGCTGTAGAAATGTGACTTCGCTTGTGTGGTTTTTGGCTTGGAAACGTCAGAAGTCGAGAAGATGACGAAGATGTAAGAGACAAGGAGGAAAAAAAGTCGTCCAATGATTTGATTACAAACAAGTGATCCGTTCCCACATGCCTTCGTGAATAAAATTGAAGGCGTATGATAGCGTGATGGTATCAAGTCGTCATTAAAGTAAAAAAATTGATGGATTGGATTGGGGACGAACCCTTGTAATACTTCAACTTATTTCTATATTAAATATAAAAAATATTAACTTAAATTTAAATATTTTGGACTAATAATTTATGCTCATCATGTTTTGGACTAATAATTTATGCTCGCGGCTGGAAGACAGAATCAACGCATTTCCGAGCGTGATCTTTGTGATGTGTATGTATAAATCTAAGGATGCATGAGCCAGAGTCAATGCTGATAATTCATTCACTTAAATATCCATCGTGATGGGTAATATTGTTTTGTCATGTGGTCCACAAATCAATTTGACTCTATTTTTTCAAAAAGTAACTCAACATAAACAATTTGATGTGATAGATGGATTTAAAAAATTTATTATGAAAGGGATGGCTTCATAATATATATTTATATAGACGATGAGGAAGAGATCTTGTTTAGGTCATACATTTAAATCTTTACATCATGAATTGATTAAGGATTATTAATATATAGAATTTTTATTGCATGTTTATCTATATCATGATATTATATTATGCCTCACAATATTAAGCTTCTGAGATATTGGATCAATATAACTAAAATTTTCTATATGCAAGAGGCTTTATACGGAATCTACTAGTTGATCAAAATTATAGATGTGATAAACATGTCATTGACATCTGACAACTTGATCTCATACAAAGTAAAATTTGATGGTAATGTGTTTGATAGATAAGTAAAACATCTAATTAGTGTAAGGTAAGTGATACTTGAGAAATAATGCCAAGTTCGTGTAGAAGATTGATGACCCAATTGAGTTATCTAGTTATGGTAGTGATGATTCAGTATTCAACTCCAATGATGGATCTTGTGATTGTATTTTGTTTCTTGGAACTCTAGCTAATTAGATTTACTTTTAGGAAGATAATATAGGCTGACATAGATGTTCTATCATCAATATTGTCTACCCAATCAATATCAACGAAGACATGAAAATAAAATAATAAGTGTTTATGAATGATTAGTCCATGATTGAGAGCCCCTTAAGATATTGCATAATACATTTTAGTGTAGACCAATGCATAGTGGAGAGCTAATACATGAATTATGATAATTTGTTAACTGTAAATAAAATATCTGGACATGTGAGAAATAAATACTACAAGGAACTAAGTATTTGTCGGTACCGTGGGATCCATAATAAATCTATCATTATATAATTTGAGTGACTCAATTATAAAGAGTTAGGTGACGATTCTTTGGCATGTTCGTCTTTGATAATAGATCTTGAATATACTTTTTTTGAGATAAAAAAATTCAAAAGATATGAATATTACTTCCACTCCCAAAAAGTAGTTTAAGGTTCATAGATTTTTTTAATGGAGAATAAATCTGTCAATTACTTAAGGAATTGCTCGATCTTCATAGAATTATTTTTTGTGATAATAATATTATCCACATAGATTAATAGATATATAATACATCTTATTTATTAACGTAGGAATAAGGAGGTGTCAGACTTGAAGTTGATGAAATTGACTGACATTAAAAATGTGTCAAGTTCAGTATACTAAGCTCTTGGAGTTTGACAAAGTTTATAAATAGTTTTTCATAGTTTAAAAATATGATTTGGATACTGTTGGTGGATGAAGCTAAGGGTTACTGCGTAAAGATATTTTAAGTTAAGGTTATTTATAAGAAAGTACTAACATGTAATTGCTATATATGCTAGCCTTAAGTGATAGCCATGCTCAAGATGAATTGAATTATCATTGGTTTAATAATTAGACTGAAGGTCTTTATGAAATTAATACTTGGTTATTGGTAAAACCTTTTGGCCACTAGACATACTTTATATTTGATAATAGATCTATCTAGATTTTATCGAATTCGAAAAATCCACTTACACACAATAATATTTTGTGTGAGGTGAGATGATACAAATGTCCATGTGACATTATGAAGTAAGGAACTGTATTATCACATATAGCTTGGCGCTATTATGGATATTTTTAGATTTAGGAAATGGTTGTAGGTTTAATAGACTCAGGTGGAGAGCTTATGGTAGCATGAAAATCAAGAATTTGATGTAGTTTGAAGATATCATTTTTGAAATGTGTTATCATGTGATATCCAAGCTCGGTGGTATTATTGAGTTATGTTGATAGTATGAGAATTACTGACTAGTTAGTGACACGTACCTGATCAAGTTAATGCACTTCGGTATCACTTGGTTGAGAAGAGAACAAAGACATTATTTGTGGTACTAAGAGCTTTGCTTTATTAAACATTGGGAATAGAGGTAGATGAAGAAGTTGCAGAGGCGATGTAGTGCTAGTGAATTGAAATAATAAGGGAGTACAAGTCTAGAGGAGCATTACCAGTTAACGTGATGAGGTACGCTTGAGGGGGTTTAAGGTGTACTCAATATGAACTCAGTGATAGATGGTTGTTATAGTGGCTCGTCTTGCAGGAGTAAGATTTTGGAAGAAAAAGGTAGAGTCAACAAAAATAGTTCCATAATACAAAGACCTTTTGAGTTTAAGGATCATAATATCGAAAAATATTATGTTTAAGGGAGTACCCAATTAAGATGCAAGGTTTAGATTTTAGTATTAATTTATGTAAAACATAGGGGCATAGTCAAAGATAACATAAGCAACCAAATATTTTAAATTTATGAAGGTTTGAGGTTTTATAAAATAATTTTTTTAAATGATGATTAGTGTTGTAAGATTGGATTGAGCATACGGTTAATGAGATAGACTACAGTTTAAAATGCTACTAACTAAAAGGTTAGCAGCTTAAAGGCTTGGTATAGGAGGGTGGGACTAGTCTCAGCTATTTATCAATGCTTTTGTTCGATAGAGCCAACTACTTGAGGTATGTGTGATGGTGATTTGAGATATTGTATACTACATAATAAAAGATAAGTTGTTAGAGCTTGATATTCATCCCTTGTATTAGAGGAAACTATTTTAATGGTAGACTAAAAGAAGTTCTCAACCAATCTTTTAAAATGAGTAAAGACTATAATGACTTCATATTTATGTTTGAGAGGATATAACCATGTATATTTATTAAAATAATCTATAAAACTGACATAAAATCTAAAATTATCAAAGGAATTAGATAGGGTAAGGCCTTAGACATCAGTGTAAATAATTTTAAATGATTTAAAGAATGGTATGGAAGACATACTAAAAGATAGTTTATTACTTCTATTATTAAGGCAAGCATCACAATAAATTATAATTCTACTTAATTTGGAAGTTGGAAGAGAGTAACAAAAAAAATAGCAGTTGTTGAATGGAGGATGATGGGTAACTAAGGTAATGATGACACACATCGATTGGAGTAACAACTGAAGTAAGAGTGATTAGTTGGGTATTTTAAAGCTGATGGTCATTCATAGATATTATCTTCACTTTGGCCTCGGACTATACTCTCGTACTCAAATCCAAATGAGTCAAGAAAGAACTCAACAAAAGTATTATCTTGTTTATAGCATTGAGAGATAAAGAAAAAAATTATGTGAAGTGCATAAAAACATCATCAAATATAAAAGTATTTGTGTATGAATTAAGTGTTATGGAACAGTATGATTGATAGGTATGTAGGAAAATCTTTGGGGGCGCTATCACATGTGCAATAGAAGAACATTAAAAATAAAATCTCTAATTTTCCAAAGATGTATTCGTCGTCGTACGAAGATTGGTGTGTAAAAATTACGAAACTTAAAACTACATATATGAAAGATTGTGTTACCTAGGGAGATCGTATATCCCTGAATCCCTATAGATCTCTATGAGAGGGTGAAGGATCCCAAGCATCCTCCTTTCTAGCGGTGATCCATACAATAGGATTACGACGATACTCTTCAAAACTCCAAGCCTACTATCTAAAGATAGGAAGGGGAGGAGAATATGAGAGACAACCCAAAAAACTCTAACCTATGAACCATTGGTTCCCTCCTATTTATAGAGGTCCCCTATCAACTTAACCGTAATGGATCCTGCCCTATTGGGTATTGGATTTCCAACTAACTACCCAAGCCTTTTAGATTAATGGATTTCTATCAAATAATCTCTCATTGACTCTTATTGAATCTCATCAATAGGATCCAATAATTCATGGGCTTATTGGATATCTAATAAGATAGGGCTCCGGCGAATATCTCATATCCGAACCTCTACTCATCATAATGCCTACCATATGTATGTGACCCTCCAGGCCCAATATCGAGTTGGCTGTGAGTCATACCCATCAAAACTCCTTCTGGCTTAGTGAATTATTATCTCCATAATAATTCACTCGACTCATCGACTACGGATGTACTAGGCCACTACGCCGTAGTCGCCAGACGATACAAGGGAATCCAATCCATTGGATTTATCTGTCCTTAATTACCATGTACATATAGTCCCTCATCCATCTAATATCTCAGAGACTATATACCGAGCATGGTGATGTCATACCCATACGATTTCTCTCGAGTCTCGCTCTAATCGGATTCTCCCAGAGAACTTTTTCTCTCTCAATCCGAATGACTCTAACAAGATATTTGTCTAGGAAAGAACATATGAAATATTTCTCTCATGACATTGAGAGTAGATGATCCTCTATCAACACTCAATAG